AACAACAACAACAACAACAACAACAACAACAACAACAACAACAACAATCATAAAAGAGACATACAGATTTATTTTGATTACAAATTAGGAATAAAATGGCAGCCAAAAGGACAGGCTAAAGGAAAAACAGCTAGATGAAAGTCTGTCATGTCCTGATGCTGCTCAATAATCCAGCTTAAAAAACTATCAAGGTTAAGTCAGGCCCTCTGGACGGATTCTTCTTGTTGAAACTTTGTGGGACTGTTTGCTCGTGGCTCCTCGGACTGATGAAGTCCTTTGGATGAAGGATGAAACGTCTCAGCAAAAAAAGAAACCGTCCAGATGACCTGACTGAACATTGTTGGATTTTTACCTGGATTGTTGAGCATGAACTTTGGTGTTCTTGTTGAAACGTTTCGTCTTTAATCCCATTAAAGATGTAATTCCATCACAGTGATTATTCTGGTTAGAGATTCATGAGTCCAACAGCCTCAGGGTAGAAGCTGTTCCTCAGTCTAGAAGCAGACCAACCCGTTTGTTGTTGACATCCAGAACTAGTTAACTTTAATTGGTGACATGTGACTTATCTGTGCTGCTGTATTCGTTCATCCCCACCTGCTCACCACTGACTCATGTTCGGGCTGCTGTTGATGCGCCGTTTGGTGTTCGTTTAGCGCAGACCTTAGATCCTTATATACCGGTTCTTTTTTATACTTTATATTTTCGCTATTTTTGGGTGCAACTGGAACGTTGAGTACATCATTTTGTTCCACCTCATGTATCACTAGTGACGCGAATGACAATAAAATAGAACTTCCGGTCATTTTAATCCGAATTAGCCGCATAAACTAACGTAACTGGTGATTTCTGACACACATCGGTTTAAACTTACCGTCTTTAAACGCCACAAGGAGGAAACATTTATCTTCTTAAAAGGCCCAGTTAAGAACTCCACAGTAATCGAAAAAGTTCATATAAACTTCACCAAATACGCGCATTTCGTCAAAAACAGCGTTAGCTGTTTTCAAACACAAACTCAAAAAAACCCGCTGAGTTTCCGCGCAAGCGCACTGGAAGGCGGAGTGAGGGTTTTAAACCCCACAGTTTGTTTTCTCAGGCAACTTACAATAAGGACTAAATTAGATAAAACATTTATACGTTCAATGTTGTCGCAATTAGATGTAGATTTTAGCCTAAGTTAAAATCTGTAAATTGAAAAATAAATGTAAATACATTTCTTTATAAATTGTCTTTTCGAACCTCCGCTTCCTGCCACAGGTTTCGGTTTCCGGAGAACAGGAAAAATAAATGGATGAGTGGAGAAATGGATGTATAAATAAAATGTAAAAATAAATAAATAAGGCATTAACCAAAATTCGACTGCAGCATTATAGCCACTGCGTAAACGTTTGACCTACTTCAGTATACTTTTGATCCGAATAGTGATTCAGTCGATTTTTCAGATCCAGATTGGTGCCTCCTGTTCTCACTATCCGGAGTTTGATTAGTCGGGTCTGGATCTACTCCTTGTTTAAGTTAGGCTCCTTTGGCTGTTTGACAGCTACTTTTTTCCACAGTCTGTGTGCTCTCTCCAGTGATGTACACCTCCTTCAGGGATCAGGTATTTTTGGAGTTTACACCCTTGTTATTGTCACGTTAGTTCAGTCACATTTCCGAGGTAAACTAGTCATTGAACCGTTCACCGGCTAGTTAGCACAGGATGCTAACGCTAGCTATCCGGGCTAAAAACAGTAGCAGCTGTTAGCAACCATTAGCTTAGATGAGCCGTTCTGTGCTATATGCAGTTGATGCGAATCAGCTACATCAAAGCTGCGTGACTTGAACCAGTGTGGTGTTGGATGCTTCGTGGAAGCCAGGAGTGCGTGACGAGGCTCATCCGGATGTAGTCAAGCTCCGGCCTCTGAAGATCACATGATAAGCTGAGGGATGGGATCCCTCTACTTCTGCCTTCCTTTCTCCTTCTTATCTAACATGGCATGCATTGCCAACCCCGACTCCGTGGCCTTTTTAAAATGGTGAGTGGACCCGAACCGGAACCTCTGTGAGTCTGAATTAATAAAGAGAAAGGAGCAGAAATCTGTGGGAGTTTGTTGGAGTTAAGGGGATGAAGCAGTCACCTGTTCCTGTCACGAGTCAGGCTCTTGTGAGGAACAAACGGCGTTCCAGTTATGTTAATTAATTAATGAAAGTTCTTTTGTTGAGAACAGATAGTTGTTTGGCTACATGTCCACACCGAGTACGTGTTGTGAATGACTCTCAGCTACTACTACATAAAAGTTCAACCCATTCTCTGTTCAATTGACTGAGTTGGAGCCATTTGCGTGTTTTTTAAACGTGCATTAGCTGTGGGGCATCTTAAATTGGATCCACCATCTTAAATTGGATCCACTAAAAAGTAATCGGTTGTAGACGTTGATTCTTTTAATTAAAATCCCTCTGGGGGTTAACAAGACCGCTGTAAACACAGATAAAATGGGCCAGCTGTTGTTTAATTGGGATGTAAAATGGAGATGACAAGTTTAATTAATACTTAATATAATAATTTAATTTAACTTTATGCTATCTTAAAGTTTCAGATGGAATGGGTGTTGTATTGGAGACCGGCAGGAGTCAAAGGTGTTGTGCAGTTTGATCTCGCACGGTTTACAGTACAGCTGGAAAAGCCTTGACTGGCATGGTTTGTTTGGAGCATGGAGGTGGAGGGCTGATGGTTGGGGCCACCATGGGCACCTGGTGCAGTACCTGCTCTTCCACTCAGACAAAAGCATGATTCTAATTGCACTTTATTATAAACTAAAAAGTTAAAAATAGTTGCTACAGCTGCCCTCCCCAGCTTTGAGGTGGTTCAGTCCAACTGAGTGATGGACACTGCTCCTCAAACAGAGATCAGCTGTGGAGAGGAGTTCAGTTTTTAGGCTTAAAACTGTTTCTGGATCTGACTCGGACAAGCCGGAGTAAGAACCTTGACTAATACAAAGATATTCAGAATTGCAACATATCCTCAGGCTTATGAAAGTCAGAAGTGTGAAACTCTGTGTTAGTGATTCTGAGCTGAACAGAAATCGACACTTATCCATCCATCCATCCATCCATCCATCTATCCATTTTCTTCTGCTTATCCGGGGTCGGGTCGTGGGGGTAGCAGTTTAAGTAGGGAGGCCCAGACTTCCCTCTCCCCAGCCACTGGTCCAGCTCCTCCGGGGGAATCCCGAGGCGTTCCCAGGCCAGCCGAGAAACATAGTCCCTCCAGCGTGTCCTGGGTCTTCCTCTGGGCCTCCTCCCAGTGGGACGTGTCCGGAATCGACACTTATTTTAGACAAAATTTGGCCTAAAAGGGAAATGTGTGTACAAGGTTCGAGTATCTTTATTGTCATTCACATCACATGTGGTACATGAGGTGGAATGAAATTATGTGCTCAAGGTTACAGCCAAAAATAGTAAAAAATAAGAATATAAAAATATATAAAGAAAACCGATATAAGGATCTAAGATATCTGCTGAACACTTTTAATGTAAAATAATACGGTGTATTAAGTATTTAATATACTTGGTATTTATTTAGATACTTCTTATATTGTAAACGTCTACCTTGAGATTTTTATCAGAATTTAGGCCTCGTTCACATAAGGATATTTTTGAGTGGAACCAAAGTTTTTCTGCCACGGTTCAGCCGTTTGTATCCATGACATCAGTTCTCAGGTTCTAAAACCGAAGGTTTCTGAACCCTGGTCTCAGAGTGGAGATTCTGGAAATACTCCGCAGGTGAAGTCACTCCTGGCGGCTGCAGTCCAAAGTTTTTCTGCACTAACAACAGTTACAATAAATGGCAGAGAGCAGAGTGTTTTTGTGCTGCTCACCCTTTTTCAGTGTCTAGAAGAAAACCAACAACATCCTAGGTACAAATGACAACATGTGTATTCTCCATTGGATGCAACTGTGCTGACACTGCATGCAGCTGAGGGTTGCCATAAATAAACAATAAGCACGTTGATAAACATGAATACATATTTTTACCCCCCTCTTTTCTGTGCACGTGTTGCACACTGCAGTTGTCGCAACACTCGGCACGATGACAGTTTGGGTTTAAATACAATAATTTTATAGCAACAGTACAATTGTTAATCATTTTATATCTGGCAACCCTACCTGGTGTTAAACTACAGTGTTTCCATGTAAACCTGCTTTTGTGTGTGTTTATTTCTCCCAATAAACCTTAAAAAACCACTTAACGTTTCCAGATGTTCTCGTGGAAACAGGGTGCACGATGTGTAAGTAGAGAATCTAAACCCAGGTCTCCCAACAGATGGTGCCCAACAGTTTCCATTAGACCAGCTGGTCATTTGTCATCAGGTGGATTTTACTCTGATGTAAGGACCGCTGGTACATTGCATTTCTTTTAGTCCATGATTTTACGCCCCATGTTACGACGACCAGGCAGCTGTGGAGTGGACCAAAGGGTCAGATGCAAGGCCGTTTGCCCGACAGCTGAATCGTGGCCCAAACTTGGTCTCTCAGCTGGACGACGAGTTTAGAGTCGCGCTCGTTAATATGAAACTTTGAGTACCGCGGGTTGCAGACCCAGTTCTGGGATGTTTTTCAAGTCTAACTTTGTTTCCATGTGTTTGTCTTCAGTCGGATTAGCAGCGACATGGCTGCTGATGACAAGTCCTCGTCCTCGTCTTCAACGGAGTGGAGCGCTGAACAACCTGCCATCTCACCCTCCAGCCCCTCCCACCTGACCCACTTCAAACCCCTGACTCCAGAGGAGGATGAGCCGCCGCTCCGGTCTGCCTACAGTTCATTTGTCAGCCTGTTTCGTTTCAGCAGCAAAGGTGTGTCTTAAAATCTGTTGTAAGAGCAGGAATGGCATTTAAATTTCCTTTCCTTCTGGACTTGGAGAATGCGTTCAACCATGTCTCTCCAGGTGGGGGTGCTCTATGAATATGAGACTGGGGGTCCGTTGCTATGGGTCATCCAGTCCCGATACGAGCGGTGCGAGGCTTTGGTTCTGATTGCTGGCACTAAGTCGAACCCCTTCAGGGTGGAAGTTGGACTCTGCCTGGACTGCCCGTTGTCACTGATTCTGTTCATAACTTTCATGAACAGAATTTCTCGGCGGCACCAGGGGGGGCGAGGGAGCCCAGTCCATTACTGTGGTCCTGCTGGTGTCATCATGCTGTGATTGCCGTTTGTCATGGTACACAGCCAAGTGTGAAGCAGAAGGATGAGGTTCAGCACCTCCAAAAGGGTCAGATAAGTGTAGATGGACTCTCTGGGTCGAGAGTGAGGTTCTACCTCCGGTGGAGGAGTTCAAGTATCTCAGGGTTTTGTTCACAAGTGAGGGAAGAAGTGAGATCTACAGACGGATCGATGTAGATTCTGCAGTGTTGCAGACTCTGTGCCGGTCCGTTGTGGTGAAGTGGAAGCTGAGCTGTAAGAAGTTCAGTTGTCCAAGAGAGACTCTGAGTGGAGCTCCTCCATGCACATCCAGAAGAGCCAGTCAAGGTGGTTCAGACATGTGATAGGGATGCCTCCCCTGGGAAGTGCTCTAGCCATGTCCAACAAGGAGGAGACCGTGAGCATGCTGGAGAGGCTCTGTGTCTCATCTGGTCTGGGAACACCTTGGAGTCATCCCAGAAGAGAAAATGACAGAACTGATGGAACCTAAAACTTCTCAGAAACCCAGTCTAGCTTTTTAGTTTCCACCAACAGTGAACCTTCTTGTTCATCATTTCAGATTCTTGCTGCTGATGATCAGAACCGTTTACAACCAACTCTAACTTTATCTTTTCTTCCTTCCTTTAAAAAGTTCAGTGAGAGCATCGTTTCACGATCACGTCATGTGTTTTTTTTTTAATAATGTAATTTTCACCTTTCGTTGTTTCATTCTCACTCATGCTTGAGCCGTTTTATTGTTACTCATACCTTTGGTCTGTATCATTTGATGAGCAGGTCATATCCATCCATCCATCCATTAAACCCCACATTATCTACATTATATTTTGCTTGGTCCGAAGCCAGGTCTGGGGGCAGCAGCTTCAGCAGGGAGGTCCAGGCATCTCTTTCCACAGTCACCTCTTCCATCTCTTCTGGGAGGACTCCAAGACGTTCCCAGGCCAACTGAGAGAGAGACGTAGTCTCTCCAGCATGTCCTGGGTCTTCCCCGAGTTCTCCTACCAGTAGGACATGCCTGAAGCACCTCCCTAGGGAGGTGCCCAAGGAGATGCCTGAAGCACCTCAACTGGCTCCTCTGGATGTGGAGAAGCAGTGGTTCTACTCTGAGTCTCTCCTGATAACTGAACTTCTCACCCTGTCTCTGAGGGAGAGTCCAGCTCCTGCAGAGGAAACTCATTTCAACCTCCTGGATCCACGATCTCATTCTTTTAGTCTCTACCAGAGTTCATGACCAGAGGTGAGGGGAGGAACGTAGACTGACCAGTAAACAGACAGCTTTGTCTTACAGCTCAGCTCCCTTTTCACCACAACGGACCGGTACAGAGTCCACAATACTGCAGACACTGCACCAATCCATCTGTCAATCTCATGCTCCATTCTTCCCTCATTCATGAACAAGACCCCGAGATACTTGAACTCCTCCACTTGAAGCAGAACTTCACCCTGGACCTGAAGAGAACAATCCACCCTTTTCTGACTGAGGACCATGGTCTCAGATTTGAAGGAGCTGGTTCTCATCCCAGCTGCTTCACACTTGACTGTGAACCGTTCCAGTGAGAGCTGAAGATCACGGCATGATGACGCCAACAGGACCACATCATCTGCAAAGAGCAGAGAGGGAATCCTGAGACCACCAGACCGGACTCCCTCCGCCCCCTGACTGTCCATAAAAGTTCTGAACAGAATCTGTGAAAACGAGCAGCCCTGGCCAAGTCCAACTCCCACCCTGAAGGAGTCCGACTTACTACCGGCAATGAGAACCGAACTCTCGCACCGCTTGTATAGGGACCGGCCAACCCATAACAACGGGCCCCCAATCCCATACTCACAGAGCACCCCCCACAGTGTTTCTCAAGGAACACGGTCGAAAGCCTTCTCCAAGTCCACATATGTAGACGTTTTAAAGAGCAAGTCACCCTTTCATTTGCTCTCATTTTCATTTGCTCTCTATGTTTTCTGTTTAAGTTTAAAGTGCACAGCTGTGTTTGGTTTTGTTATGCAGGAAAACCCCATTTTATTTTTGAGACATTTATTTTGTGCAGTTTTCACGCTGTTTGTTAATAAAGGTGCCTGTGTGACAAGTGGGATTTGGGACTAAGCTTTGACTCTGAAATATATTTTTATTTTATGGAAAGAAAAATATTGAGATATATATTCTATATCGACATTCATCTTAAAATGTTGAGATATTAATTCTGGTCCATATCGTCCAGCCCTATTGCAGAGGCGTGCCAACCAAGACGGTCCCATAACATCCAGAACCTTAAGGAGATCAGGGTCATTGTTCCAAGTTAAAACTGGTTCTCAGCTGACACCCCTGACTGATTTAAAGGTCAAATAAATACACCTTTAAAGAAGTGGGCATCTTCTCTGGACATGGTCAGATGATCAGATGACTTGTTTAGGACTTGGACTTGATTTAGGACTTGTATGTCATGACTTTGGACTTGGTCCTGGTCCCAGTCCCACCACTGGTGGAGAGTCAGCAGGTAAGGGTTAAGAAGCGACAAATCGTTCCCCTTCATCTTCCCTCTTGTTTGTGTGAGCAGAGGAGGGCCGTCCTGTGTCCACAGCTTCAGAGAAGGATGTCTCTCATCCTACCCGTCAGTCAGAGAGACGAAGCCAGTCCTCCAGTCCCTCCCACTCCATCCACGGCTCGAGGACACATCGGAAGCAGCACCCTGAGCACGTCAAACGCACCAGTATATCTGGTAAGACACACAAACTTGTGTTTCTGTCCTTGTTGTATTATAATTCACATCTTGGCTCAAATCCCTGATTCTGAACCCAAGAAGGACATGCCACCACATTAGACCAGGCTTTGGTCCCCATGAGGGTTACCAGTCCTGACAGGGTAGGTGTGTGGACCTGAACGGTCATTAAAAGAAACAAAAACCAGGTCCACAGTGCAGATGAGGTTGCTCCCCCCCCAACACACACACACACACACTTTTTAAGGTTCTTGGTTGAGACATACTAGATGATATATTTTGTATTTAATATTTTTACTCTTTAAACAGACTATCTTAAATGTTTTATGTCTTTTGCTTCTATTAAAGTTGATTTAAGTAAAGGAAGAAAGTGTATTTAATATTTAGTTTGACACAGTTTGTTGATTAAAACAGAGTTAGTTGCTCATCATCACGTTCAGCCTTTAACGTTTAGAAGCTTTAAAAACTTCTTTTTCCTGAAGGCTGTATTTTATTCTGCTCATCATCTTAAACGTTTAAAGGACCTCAGTGTTTTCTGCAGTTTCTGTTTACTTAAAATGTGAAAAATGATTATTTTTAGTGATGGTCTGATGGCGTTCTGTCAGTCAGTTCTTCTTTAAACGTCACAAAGTTGGTATGATGTAAGAATATTTCAACTCCATCCATCCATCCATCCATCCATCCATCCATCCATCCATCCATC